ATTTTGGTCATAATTGTAATCACTATTATTCAAAACGATTATCAGTTGAAGTTAAAATTATTCGTCCTCCTGTATTTATTTTTATATATAAATATTTCCCAAATTATGTTTAACAGAGGGTTTTTTTTACAGTATTTCCTATAATATTTTTTTCTTCTGGAGAAAGGCTTATTTGTTTTATTTCAGCTAGAATAAAAGCAAGTTTGAATATTTTGAAATCTATTTTAATAGCTCGATATTATTAGCCCCTTTAAGCAATATATGTTTTATTGTCTGCAGAAGAAACTACTGTTATACAATGACTTGTCTATTAACCCTAATTAAGCCTTTGAATGTCACTTTAAGCTGAATACTAGTATCTTGAAAAATGTCTAGTAAAATATAATGTACTGTAATCATAGCAAAGATAAAAGAAATCAGTTATTAGAAATGAGTTATTAAATCTGTTAAGTTTAAACTATGCTTTAAGCATCTTCACTGTATTTTTTATTTTATTATTGATTATTAGCAATATTAATCAATTATTGAATAATAGCAGCAGGAATATCGCACGCTGTCACTTTAAGAATAGTGCGGCTCTGATATGGTTTCTCTTTCACGTGTCTTTTGATTCTCAACTTGTTAGTTTATTACACAAATGAGGGTTAATATCAAGTGTGCCGCAAGCCTACGTTTGAGTGAAGGTTTCGGCCGTTAGATCGCCCCCTGGGGGCTGGCTGCAGTACAAGTTATAAAGCCCGCCTCCTCCGTGTTAATGAAGGAGACTTGAGCCCAAATAAAAAAAAATATTACACTTGCAATAAAATGTCCCGAAAGATAGTTCTGGTCGATTAAGGCACTGGTTATTGTGGTGAAATAGGTGCAGATCTTCATTTTTGTAAACAGTTTGTTTTTAGCAGTAATTTAATGCTGGGCGTGTCATCGTGATTGACAGCTGTGATTGACAGTTTCTCAAAGCGCGGCGTTTGAGCTTCGGCAGGAGACTGAAGTAGACTGAAATGTTATTATTCGATTTCTGTGTTATTTTACCATGACAAAATGAGTTCAGCAGTAAACTATAGTGTCTGACATACATGATCCTGGTGGAACACTGTTTATTCGCTAAGTTCAGGGCTTTTTTCGGGCTTTATTAGTTTGCTGATACACGCCTAGCCACCCAGATAGCAAAACACAGTTCCGGCTAGATCCTCGCCTGCCGGAGACTTATCTCTTAGAGCTCAGACTGACTAATGTTACCTCTGCTGGACCTACTCCGGATGCCTGGACTCACTGCCCGATTCCAGTCCGAGTCAATCGAGCCAGATGCGGCGGCCGAGCGAGCCGGTGCTGCCGCATGCGAGCCGGAATCAGCCCGCGACGCCGCGAGTAAGTTATGCGCTGCGGCCTGGAGCTGGCGCGATTGAATATATAAAACCCTCATATTTGTTAATGTTATTACATCCATTTGTGTTGATATGACAGCAAACGCATGCTGAGAAGTTCGGGGGGCGTAGTTGATTTTACATAAAGCGTTTGATTGGAAGCTCGACTCTGCTCATTTTCGCGGCTCCTCCTCTGGCTCCATCAGACAATCCTTCTGCGCATGTCTGGCTCCAATTTCAGCAGTCTTTTGCGACAGTTTGTGCCCGTCAAGCAGGCGTTTTGCCCTCAAGGCGTTCAATGGGAAAAAGGGCTGTCGCGTCGTCCATATTTTTTACAGTCATTGGTTAATATAAATAATCATTAAAGACCGCGCTCTGACACAAAATGTGCATGTACTTGACCATTAAAGCGATCACATTAAGATCGCGTTAGATGTGTGTGTGCTCTGCTGTCCGAGGCTAAGCGCGGCGCGCGCGTAAACACACACACACACACACACACACACACACACACACACACACACACACACACACACACACACACACACGCTACCTGTCTGAGGCTAAGCACGGCCCGCGCACACACACAACAGCATGGGCTCTTTTGCGCTTTTAAAAACATGAATGATGCGCATACCGTGCTGCAAAAGTTACATTACAGCACATGCTTTTAGTCATTTTCACGTGGAATTGAGCTTTACAGAGGCAAAGAGTTTACACATTTGTACAACTGGAAAGGGGGCGGTACGTGATGGAATAATCGTTTATCTCGATTAATGGTTTTTCATAATCGTTAAAAGCCAAAATCGAAATCGGATTTTCGATTAATTGCACAGCCCTAATATCAATAGCATTTTTTGGAGAAACAAATACAAATTAGTTTATTTTCATATTGTTTTTTTTTGTTGCTGTTGTTCTTTTTAAGAAGTTATTTAAGCAATTTACTGAGATTGTAAAACTGTTTTTGAATTGTTGTTTATATTGGTATAATCTAAAACCTTGCACACTGTCCACAGCTCGCAGGGACCCAAGCAGTGTCATTTTGACATATTTTCATTGATTGATTTAGTCATGTCTTGTTCCTCTTTGTCTTAGTCCTAGATACAAATAAAGCCAGATGGAAAACAAAGAAAACGTGATGCAGGTTTTTATAACTGCTTAGAGAATTATGAGATGGGTACCTTCATAACATTTTGTATCACCTCTGCCTTTTGACAAAAATCAGGCAGGCAACTACTAACAAGCCCCAAGTAATGTTTAAGTACTGGCCATGTACACAGCACAATCACAAGTGTAAAAAAATAACACCATTGTAGCAAATTTAATACTGGCAAAGTGTGTATTAGTGTAAAGTGTAAAATATATAAATATACGTTAACATAAATATATTTAATTACGTTTAACGTTAGCATTTTTAAAAAGATAATGCACTTAATAAAACAAAGAGTAAAGCTAAGTGTGTGTTTTTTTTTTTTTGTGTTTTTTTTTTTTGCAAAAAAAAAGATCTTTTACCACAATCTTATTTTGGCTGGAAAACCCCTGTTCAGATGTCTATATACTGTATATCAAAACAAAAGGGATCACATGACAAGACACAACCAATGAGAAACTAGACAAAGGACTAAATAAATTAACATGACACAAGAACAACTCCGAGCACATGACGGATAACAAAGCAGGAAACAGGAAGGCAGGGCTAAACTACAGTAAATACCGTACATTTCTTGTTAGTGCTGTTCAGTTTATTAATAGTGTATGAGCAATCATGTAATGCTTCAAACATTGTTACTCATTGTTATGATGTCAAAGGTCTAACTGATACTGTACTGTAGATTGATCATTATAAAAGAATCTTTTATCAAGCATAGTCTTACCAACGTATTAGTTTACAGAATTTTTTTTTTTTTTGACTACTGTATTTTATGCAAAATCAGATGCTCCTTTTTGCTGGAAAGCAGTACTTACTATAATCAGTCAAAGAGACTTAAAACTCTGTATTTGTGGAATTTTGAGAGTTGTTCAGCTTCATGTGCTTCAAAGCCACAGTGCAGAAATACCAAGCATGACAAGTCACTGATAAAAATAAATAGTTCCTCAATAAAGTTTCACTTTTGTCTTGCAAGTTGCATGTCAGTTATTATAGTTTACTTAAACTGAATCTGAAGTCATGAAAATAATGTTACTTCAAATAAACGTTTGGTGAAACACAATATATTTCATTTTCTTGTCGGCTTAGTCCCTTTATTAATCCGGGTTCGCCACAGCGGAATGAACTGCCAACTTATCCAGCAAGTTTTTACGCAGCGGATGCCCTTCCAGCCGCAACCCATCTCTGGAAAAACATCCACACACACATTCACACACACACACACTCATACATTATGGACAATTTAGCTTACCCATTTCACCTGTACCGCATGTCTTTGGACTGTGGGGGAAACCGGAGCACCCGGTGGAAACCCACGCGAAGGCAGGGAGAACATGCAAACTCCACACAGAAACACCAACTGAGTCGAGGTTCGACCCAGCGACCTTCTTGCTGTGAGGCAACATCACTATCTACTGCGCCACTGCCTTGCCAATACAATACAATACAAGTTTAAATTAAAGTAAAATTGTAACTGAAATATAATAAAAACTATATATGTATATGTAGTTAATAGTTATTAAATAAAAATTGTAATGACATCCAAAACAAAAGTTTAGTATTCATAATAAATTCTTTTATTTTTCAATGTTATTACTACAAACAGCAATTAAGGGATAACAAAATAAAGAGCAAGCATGACATCAAAACATGTCCCTGTACATTTATTGTAGGTCTGACTGCATTGTATGAAAAAAAAAAAAAATATTATTAGGAATACATTGATTATTTTTTATGTACAGTACAATACAATATTTTTTCTTAAGGCACATTTAAGAACAACCAAAGTTGATCAAAGTGCTGTACATAGAAGTAATAAAGACAGAGAAGAAAGCAGAATATAAAAGAAACATTTAACAAATAAAAGGAATAAAACAGTGATCAAGTAGTATTAAAAACAAGAGAAAATTGATAGGTCTTAAAATGGACTTAAATACAGAAATAGATGGGTAAAGTTTAACGTGAATTGGTAAAGTGTTTCACAGTTTAGGACCAGCAACAGCAAACGCTTGTTTTTTAAGGTGTGTTCTAGGCTCAGTGAGTAAATTGAGATCATAAGAACGAGAGAGGGGTATAGGGGCAGAGCAAGTCTGTAAGGTAAGATTATTGAAGGCTTTGCACACAAATAATAAAATTTTAATATAAATTTTTAATTTAATGGCTAAACAGTGCTGTGCAGGTAAAATAGGAGTCACTGACTCATGCCAGAAGTAGTCTAGCAGCTGCATTTTTGTATCAGCTGCAGATGAGAGAGAGAAGACATATATCATAGTAGAGAGAAATATCATAGTAGAGAGAGTTACAGTAATCCAGATGAGTTGTTATGAAGGCATGAATCACTGTTCGAAAATTTCTCACGGATAAAAAAGACTTTAGATGTGAGACCTCATTCAGAATTTGTTAGAATTTGGTTTTCTATATCTATCAAGTTTTCGCAAAAATCCTGATCGGAGCACCCCTAGTAAAGTCCTTTTTCAATAGTTGTTGTTTAATTTGGTATAATCTCCAAAACCTTGATTCGACTCGGATCATAAACACAGTCTTCCTCTAATCCACTGTCCACCATTCCACAGTTTGCAGGGACCCAAGCAGTGTCATAACCGTGCTGATGCCAAGTTTTCTGTAAGGGATGACCCTGACAATCAATCCTCTTCACTTTTCCCACTCGAACACTGAGTTTAAGAATGGCCAAAGGGCAGTGTTCTCCAGTGAGCAGCCTTTTGGTGGTTTCATTTAAAGGGTATCGGGAAGCTTTCTCTTTACTCCTACTCACGTAGACTCCTGGACCCAGCATGCCATCTGCAGAGCGCATGAATCCTTGACGTTGGATCTGTAGTGCCTTTGCCATTGTAGTGCCATGATACATGATGTACGATCTCTGTCCAGGGTATTTCTGAATTCCAGTGTCATAACCGTTGTCCCCCATGCTCTTCAGAGTAACCAAGGCACTTAGTGGATAACCAACCTTAATAATTCTATATGAGAAAAAAAGTAGTTTGCAATATAAACATCAGGCAAGAAAAACTACATCAAACTATTCTTCCTCCCTCCATCATCATATTTCATTTATAGCATTGTTTTAATGGAGCCTACCTTCATCTGAGTCTTCTGGTGCCACATGGCCCCTAGAAAAAGATGAACTGTTTTTATAGTACTTTGGTTTCACTTTTGGTTAGTACGCAAGGTGGGGCTGAAAGGGTTGGTGTTTTGAGGATGTGGTTTCCTATCCACAATTTCGGGAAGACACCGCATTTCTTGTTAGCACTGTTCAGTTTATTGATAGTGTGTGAGCAGTTATGTGTGGAATGATTAAACAGGTAATGTGACTTGATTTTATATTGGTCTCAAATCAACAGTCAGATAGCTATTGTTTAAAACAAGGCTCAAAATGACAAACTCTTTTTAATACAGGAAAACATAATTGAGACATTTGCCAAAAAGCCTAAAACTAATTAGACCAATATTGCTTCCACACACTATTTGCTTTCATTTTCGGTCTCACTGGCGGCAATACCCTTAAGTATAGTCTTTGACAGCAAGCATCACTGTTTTTTGAGATTGATATAAGAATAAGGGATGATGGGGCGGGGTGGTGCTGGATATGTGCTTACCCAACACAATCTCACGGCAATTCGTAACTTTTTCATTTAGTGGCTAATTCGTATGAATTCGTAGGATCTAATTCGTACAATTTAGTACGATTTGCTTATCCCCCAATGACGGTTGGGGTAAGGGGTGGGGTCAGGTGCCACGCCTCCTTTTTAAAATCGTACCATTTCGTATGACTGAACTCATACGAATTTGTACGAATTAGCCACTAAACTGGCAGGGCGTACCTTTAAATAAACTGAACACCTGTTTTGTCCTCTATAAAGCATCAGTAATGCTGGCTTGTTTTGTTGCTTACTCCAGCTTATTTTATTCTTGCTTTGTTTATTTTGTTTCTAGCATTAGTTTTGGTTAACAGTTGACTTTGGTTAGTCTAAGCTTGATCATTTTATTTTTTTCTATTCTTTTTCTCTCTAATTTCTTTTTGTTTACTCTCTTATGTTTACATAAATACTTTTTACATCGGCACCAAACCACCTGTTTATTTACTCCCTTAATTTCACATGGCTTTTGAGCAAAGTCGTGAAATTACACTATCATTATCAAGAAAGGGTGTCTTGAAATGCAAACTGAAACCTGAGTAAAGACAGATCTAAGAGCAAATCCTTTGACTTGAGCTGAGTAGCAAGAAAAGAATCTAGTAAGGTATGATTGTAATCTCCTGTTTTGGTATTTGTGGTGACAAAGCAGGATTTTTAGAATTGCAGTGACAAACATCTCAAAACTTCAACTCTGGGCAGATATGAAGAAGCCTGTATTGGAATCAGTTCAGTTGAACTGTTTAACTTTCTGTTTGTTTAACTTTCGCCTTTACGAACTTTGTTTTTTTTCCCACTGAAAATTAAAGCCATTTGTCTTTTTTTATGGTTTCTCTTCAATCACTGCATTGGAAAAGGAAAAAAAATCCTATGCAGTGATTTGTTTTGCATGACTATTTGAATTTCTTTGGGGGCTATCTAAACCAGTGTTTTCCAACCTTGTTCCTGGAGGCACACAAACAATACATATTTTGGATGTCTTCCTTATTTGACCGAATAATTTAATGTTTTAAACTGACTTTTAATTTTCTGATGAGTTGGTTCTGATGTGTTTGCCATATTTGACCATATTTGTAAGTAATATTATGTCAAATTAAAGGATGAGCTGTAATATGACAAAGGAACCAAAGGTTAAACACAGCCCAGGAAAATATTATTTGGGAAATATTTTAAAAAGTCATTAAAGGGGGCTAATAATTCTGACTTCAAGTGTCTCACACACACACACACACACACACACACACACACACACACACACACACACACACACACACACATATATATATATATATATATATATATATATATATATATATATATATATATATATATATATATATATATATATATATATATATATATATATATATATATATATATATAATAAAAAAGTAATATCTCTTGCCCTGAAGATCCACTTCCCTGTAAAATTTCTGCTTTTTGTGCCATGTTGTAATTACAGTTTTATGCAAATTAAATATGCGAATTATATTTTATTTTATACTCAGGGAAAAAGCTACATTTCAGTTCTGACATAAATTGCATTATATCTGTTGATTAAATAAAAGTTAAGTCATAACAAAAACAAAAAATGCAGCAAATATACAATTCTATGATTCAAGAAAACAAATATGATGGCTAAAAAATAAAGTTAATAGCTTAGAAATGTAGCAACATTTAAGCAAGACTTAATAGCCAAAAGCCAAGATAATTGGAACCGACATAATGTACTGTTGACATGACATGAAACAATAAAATCTCAGGTGGAACAAAGACACAAAACACGCTGACGATGATGATGTCGACCTCTGCTGTTGATCGAGTGAAACTGCTGCTTGTTAAAACAAATGACTTATTTTAGTTCTATATAATATAAGTATAACAATAAATTTCATTGTATCTACTCTTTTTAATCTATGCATTTTATGGGGTTTATTTCTTTTCTTTTGAAAATAATGTTATAAATAAAAATGTAAATTCTCATTTCTTTGCTCAGTTATTCAAGAAATAATAATTATTGCTGGCATATGTAGTAATTTTACACCCATTGTTAAATTTGCTGATATTAGTAGTGGGACTCTGTATGTCAAAAGATAAATAAAGGAGTACAACTATGTGATATGATTTCTTTATTTGAATCATTTTAAAATGCAGCCAAATTTTGCTCATTTTATTAAAGTTATAAACACATTTACTAGCAGAATGAATTGTTCACCGTTATAAAAATTGACAATGGTTTAACTACAGGAAAAAAAATATATAGTAACCGGTTTAACCGCAAATTAATTTACCTGAAAATATGGTTACTAAAGTTACTACATGGTTACTACTATTATGAAAAAGATTCATTTTTTTAATAGTGATGTAGTGGAATAATATGTGCAAGAGATTCTGTAAGTTGTCACAATTCTGAGATTCTGTAAGTTGTCACAATGTTCACCACTCTTGGGTTTTTCAAAAAAGATGGAGGAACTGGTGTATGCTGGAACTAAAATTTCACACTCCATTGCCGCAAGCCCCCAGTTACCAACCAAAAAGCGGCCTGCTCCACAACCACCTATGAGCCCACCTGGAAGAGCCCTCCGATCACACTGCCAGGGCCCAAAAAACAACGCCCCATCTTCAGCTGGTGAACACAAAAGCTCTCTGTGATGTGTGTCGGGGACCTGCTTAGATAACAGTGTCTTTATCAAATGTTTTCTGAACAAGCAGGAACCCAGTGTGTCTGTAGCTTTCTCTAAGCAGATATGTGTTGTGTTAAGTGACAGAAAACCAAAGACTTCATCAGGCCATTTAGCAAATCATTCAAATCTGGTGTCTATTCAATGTAGATCTGAGACTACTATAGAAAAAACAGCTAAAACTGTTAAGTTAGCGCTTTTAAACATCAGATCACTTAACAATAAGTCTCTTTTAGTCAATGATTTTATCACCACAAATTGCCTTGATTTTATGCTTTTAACTGAAACTTGGCTGGATGACAGTTGTAGCGCAGCAGTTCTGAATGAAGCAGCTCCTTTAAACTTTATGTCTGATTTCATGGCAATTAACAGCAAAATCTTAGAAGAGACTGTGCAAGTTATGAAAACATCAACCTGCAGTCTTGACACGCTTCCCACATCATTCTTCAAAATGGTGTTTACCTGTTTAGAAATGGATCTTCTAAAAGTGGTAAATGCTTCACTTCTATCAGGGATTTTTCCAACCTCACTTAGAACTGCAGTTGTTAAACCCCTCTTGAAAAAGAGCAACCTGGATAACACCCTATTGAGCAATTACAGGCCAATCTCAAATCTCCCTTTCATTGGCAAAATCATTGAAAAAGTTGTTTTTAACCAGGTTAACAAGTTCTTAAACTTCAGGGGGTGTTTAGACAATTTTCAATCGGGGTTCAGAGCACATCACAGTACGGAGAGCGCTCTTATAAAGATAATCAATGATATACGCCTAAATACAGATTCAGGTAAAATAACAGTGCTGGTATTGTTGGATCTCAGTGCTGCATTTGACACTGTCGATCACAGCATACTTCTGGATAGGCTGGAAAACTGGGTTGGGCTATCTGGCACGGTCCTCAAATGGTTTAGATCTTACCTAGAAGGTAGAGGTTACCATGTCAGTATAGGTGACCATAGGTCAAGGTGGACACCCATGACGTGTGGAGTCCCACAAGGCTCGATTCTGGCACCTCTCCTGTTCAACCTTTACATGCTCCCTCTAAGCCAGTGGTTCTCAAACTATCTTCACCAAGTACCACCTCAAAAAAAAAATGTCTCTTCAAGTACCACCAAAATGACCAGTATTGAAATTAAGTAGCGTAGTTGGTCAAATTAAGCAGCTACAGCACTGCACAGTTTGAAAACGAAGCATATTCATATTTGTACAATTTGACAACTTGACCACGTGACTGGCGGAGCGGCATTCTGAAAAGTTAAGATGTTTTCAACTAGGTACGCCTGGAATACACAAGCGCGTCGTGCTAAAGTTTCTACTCATTTTGCTTGCATGTGGGTTCAAGTTTGATGCTCAAGTGACCGAGATGTAACAAGAGAATATGGTCATTTTTCTAAATAAAAAAAATGTAGTAAATGATCGTTCAGACTCAGATAATAAATAAAACGGAAATAATTAATAATTTTTTTTGTGCGGCCCAGTACTAATTGATCTATAGACCAGTGCCGGTGTGTGGCCCGAGGGTTGGGGACCACTGCTCTAGCGCGTACCTGCTCTGCAAGCACCACGCACCTCTTTCTTTCTTTCTTGATTTTTAGCAGCTGAT